GGGGGGCGGGATTTTTGCTATTGGTTCTCCGAACCACCTGCCTCCATTGCTACCGGATCGGGTGATCCGGTCCGAACCAGGAGCATTTCACCCTTGGAATAACTGCTCCAACTTCAATTACATGTGTTCAAGCCTTCTGAATATCCTGAACCTTTGCAATCTGACTCCAGACTGGCAGACCCACCTTTCATGATACTTGTACCATGACTGGACTATGGTGGCCTGTGCTGCTTTGATTTTGGCCTCTTTCTTATACAAGCCCGTATATTTTTGTAAATGTTACTGATGCATATTCTCCCTGTTGTTTCTTGCAGTTATTCACAAAACCAAAGTAAACTGCTTGAAAATTAATGTGTGAATTCAGCCTGGAATAGGACAAATTTCCTCTGTGAAAATTTCATTTATGTTCGTTTTCTTTTTGAAAATTGTTTTTATTTTGCTTTGGCAGTTTCTCATATCCATCTCTCTCCAAACTAATTCTTCATTCAGCTAGGTTGCAGGAGATTAGATTATAAATTATCAGTAATTTCCAATGTACTTTGCATATAGAAAACCTCTAGAGAGACAGAAAATTTTTACATGAGAGTCAAATATGGTTTCCCAGCCTTTCATGTTGTTCCTAAGACACCTCTTATTTATCAGTTCCCCAATTTTTCTCATAGATGAGCCATTTCCCCCACAGGTAGAGGTTCTGCTCACACACAACAGAACTGCACCAGTAAGACATTGAGGAGAAAATGGTATGATCATAGATACTTTAGCCGTATTCAAATTCAATAATTCTAATAGTAGCAGACAGCTGTGATTATAACTACTATTTACTGTAAGAGGAAGGTAATCTATTCCCACTTTCTCTGCCCATTTCAAGTCTCTTGTTAAAAAATAATTTTGATGCAATTGAACCGAAATTTTATTTTGCTGGAAAAAGAACATTCTGTTGATTCTGTTATCTCTAGTTGCAGGACACAACTGTTTGACAGCTTGGTTTAATGTTAAACCAAAACAATTGATGGTTATGTGGTTATGACACACAAAACCTCACCCATGATCCAGTTAAAGTGTTGAACAGGATAACGTCTGAGAATGTTTTTTTTTTTGTCACTTGTTACTTGACCCTCTGTTCAGCTCTAAAGAACCTGGAGGAACCCACTGGACTTGAAGAAGAGATTACATACTCCACAGCAGACCTGGGCATTTTACAGCCCCCACGCCACAATCAGCCCTTTGGCTATGCTTGTCTGGCCTGTGTGGGGTCAATTGGAAATTAGAAATCAACTGTAAATAACTGCACAGCAAGGGGGTGGGAAAAGAAATTGAGTCAGGTCCAGCTCTGTGCAATTGTTGTGTACTCCTTCAGTTGGCTGGTGGCCGCAGGAGGGTAAGGAGAGAAAGTGCTTTTCTGCGCCTGTGCAGCGCTCATTCCTAGGAACCTGAGAAGTTGAAGTGACAGAGTTTAAGGACATCAAATCAGGTTACATTGATTTGGCCATCCACCACAGTCCCAGTTTCTCATGTGGTCCCTTGGGAAAATTAATTGCCCACCAGAGACTGAAGCAAGTGTGGAATAGAATCTCAAAATAACCCCACTTTGATTTGTTTGGTACTAGATGAAACAAACAGGAACTTGGATAGGCATTCAAGATAAGGCTATTAATGCCCTATTATAATGAAGTAGCAATCCTGGAATCCCTATTATCTGTTTCATGACCTGTCCTACTTTAAAGAGACTGTCATATTCTTAGATTTCTTGTAGAGAAAGGAGTGAAAAGAAGGCTGCTTTATTGGGAAACTACTGTTTCTAACACTGCAAAGTATCTCTCTATCTTCCGGGATTTTGACATGAGTTTTCACTGTGTTTGTTTTGATTAACTGTAAGATAGATAGATGTGCCCTGATGGTGCCCTGAGCTCTTCCATGTTACACTGTTGACCAAATCAGGTTGGTTCATCCACCTTTAGGGATGTGTCTCACTCCCAAAACAAGAGAATACCTACAGATTCATTTGTACCAGTTGCTGTTGACCATAATTTTGCTTCTTCCAACCAAGTTATCCTTTGGTCTTCCAGAAACCCATTGGCATCAATATTGGCAGAGTATTATAGAAGCTCTCAGAACCATAGCAAGGATGTGGAGTTGATTTGCAGTTCTAGTGATAAAGTTGTAAGTGTAAAATTAAGTATACTACAGTAACAAGATGTGTGATGGGGAAACATGTCAATGGAAGCTGTATATCAGCAGTAGAGACATCTCTAAAATACTTGTCAAAGCCAGTTTAATCTCTGAGTTGAAAATATTTTTATCCTTAGATATGTGACTAAACCATTTTCCTTGTCTTACTACATATTTACTATATGTAGTTCTGTTAGTCTCATTAGATAGACCAGATCAGGAAATCTGGTCTATCAGTAGGGTTGTCCTAAAGTTTCAAATATTGGAGATTACATCTGATAAAAAGTTATAGTATTATAGGCAGCATGTGGCTTCATTTTTTAAAATAGCAATTCATTACAGTTGCATTACAGTTTATATTTTTAAGAATATTATTCCCTCTTATTACCACATCTGTGACATTCAGGAATTCTTTTTCTCTGCAAATAGAATGCAATAAAATATGTGTTTGAATAAATATATATGAAATATTATGAATATTGGAATGACTAGAATGACCTTTATGGTATAACTTACTTATTCATAATATGTAGGACGAGATATGATAATGATTTCCTATAACTTGTATGTATGCTATGTTGTTAAGCATGTTTGGCATGAAGATGTTTGATCTAATATCTAAATCTACTGGTAATATGATGGCATAATTACATTTGGTTTAATCAAAATCTTTGGTGTCTATTTTAACGTTTTCCCCCAGTATCCCAAGAGACTAAAGTTAACTGTATACATTTAAAAGGCACAAAACACAAATAAGGCTGTTATCATATATATGGTTACCTGAAAATTCCCGCTTAAGTCAATGGCGCTTACTACTAAGTAGATACTGATAGGCTCAAAATATAAACATTAATAATTATTTTGAGGGTGCATTCTATATATATTTATTTGGAAGTTTTGAATGTTAACTTTTGGAACCAACAGCAGATACATTAATGTGGGAAAGGCAAATCAGAAATGTTTAAGCATTGGGTTACTGTATATCATCTATTATACGTAAACCCCTATAGTGTGGAACCTTTTGACATCTTATAAGGATATGTTTGCAGGGTATTTTTTTTCCTGATAAAGCAATTCAGATCTGCTTAGATCTAAACTCAACATTGGATAATACCAGTGGAAGGAAAGAATACCTACAGATTCATTTGCACCAGTTGTGTTGACCATATTTTTGCTTCTTCCAACCAAGTTATCCCTTGGTCTTCCAGAAACCCATTGGCATCAATATTGGCAGAGTATTATAGAAGCACTCAGAACCATAGCAAGGATGTGGAGTTGATTTGCAGTTCTAATGATAGAGTTGTAAGTGTAAAATTAAGTATACTACAGTAACAAGATGTGTGATGGGGAAACATGTCAATGGAAGCTGTATATCAGCAGTAGAGACATCTCTACTTGTCAAAGCCAATTTAATCTCTGAGTTGAAAATATTCCTATCCTTTATATATGTGACTAAACCATTTTCCTTGTCTTAATACATATTTACTATATGTAGTTCTGTTAGTCTCATTAGATAGACCAGATCAGGAAATCAATCCACAAGAAGACTAAAATTACTTTGATTGAGATTGACTATAATGATAAAAACTTGCAAATCTTATTATGCTCTAATTACTTCTCTTTCTTATAGTTCAGTGAATTAGGGAAGCATTTACCTGACTTAATCCTAAATATTAACTCCTTGTTCTGGACTTAAAAAACACTTCAGGCCCTTTTGCCTGGGCAACGGTTCCTGCTTATCACTGTCAAGGTCATTTCCCATACTCTCTGCAACTTCTGACATAAGGAAGCCCTCAAGAAGAAGCAAATGTGTACTAGATATTTAATGTAAGCAAGTTCCAGTAAAGGAAACGAATGAAAATACTAGCTCTGCCTTTCTCATTTGCCCCACCAGCAGACAGAGGTACTCATTTTTCATGTTGTCAGTCAGGAGTATGTTTATGGAGATTCTCAGTCATCCAGGTCATGGTTATCCTAAAGGTGCTTTTTCAAGAGGCAACTAGACTTTCCAGAAAGTCCAGTTGCCTCTTGAAAAAGCACCTTTGGGACAGTCAGTAGTAGCACTTTTGCACAGTGTTTCTAGTGGATAAAACATGTCCTGACAATATTAAATCATGAAATTATCTCAGAGACATGTATTTTAATCTTATTTTGAAACATTCCAATTGATTTTAAAACATGCTGTAAGACGGAGAACTATGTAAGGCAGAAACATTTAAGGTATTAGATCCCATGGGAACTGAATATGTGTATAGCACCTAACATTCAGGTTTGAAGTAGGAAAAGAAAGAACTTACAGAACACGGTAAGCTACTAAGATACAACAATAGTTAACCAAGATATTCATTCAAAAAAAATCTGAGTAGTAAACGTATTTTACTATATTTATTATACTGTCTTGGAAATTGTAGTTCAATAGCATCTTGAAAGCGACATCTTGCATATCAATGCATCTCTCCATTCGAATCTCGAAGGCTCAAGGTTGACTCAGCCTTCCATCCTTTCTAAGGTAGGTGAAATGAGAACCCAGTTTGTGGGGCAATAAGCTGACTTTGTATAAAACATACAAAAGAATGAAGGCTATTGCTTAACGCATTGTAAGCCGCCCTGAGTCTCCGGAGAAGGGCGGCATATAAATCAAATTAAAAAAAAAAAAAAATCTGAAAACCAAACTAATGGTAACAGCTTTATTATGTCAGTAACTCTGCAATGTATGATGTCAAGTTCAGTGCAAAAAAGCTGTTTTATCCATTTTTTCAACTATCTGACTAGATTGAGAGGCTGGGGTCCTCTTAGAAACTTTTCTATCTAAAGACTCTGTGAATTGTGAATTGGAGACCAAGTGGATTTATTGGATTGCTCTTAAGAGAGAGGCAAATAGTTACATTTTTATAAGCAATTTCTTATATATTTTTGTCATTCTTAATTTGACAATTAATTGAGTCTTAAAGATGTTCAGCTTTTATTCATATCCTATTTTTCCAACCATGAAAATATTACACCTATACAAAGTGCAACTCTTTATAAGAAATTCTAAGACAAAGATTTTGTCATATGAATGGGTATCAATGTAACCCAATGGGTACATTGGGTATCAATGAAGAACAAAATATGAGCAGGTTGATTGTATTTTTACAGAAGAGAGCAAATGCATACAAAGAAATGCATTCTTACTTCATTGTAAATGAAAATGTAAACATGTTGGTTGGGTAAAATTTGCCAATGACAAAAGAGAAAAAAGGAAATTATTCATGAAATCTTATGTTAAGAACCTGAAAGCCATAGCTGCATCTGGTCCTGATAGTCACGTCTATTGGCGTGATTATTTATCATCTTTATGTTAATAGTCATTTAAGAATTCATCCAGCCTCACTATCACTGCTGCTCCATGCATCTTCATATGCAGAATTTAAGCACTGCTTAGAAGGCAACTAAAAAATAAAGGAAAAAGGGATTACAATTATGGAAAATTAACTTGTGAATGGATTCTGTCTCTATAAATCCCCATCACTACCATCACTGGAAATAATTCTGCTATATTATTGTTATATATGGAAATAATTATATATAGGTAAAGGCAGGTTTATGACCAAGATTGCTAGGAACTACTCATGTGAGTTAGCTGAAAGTAAAATCCTTCTTGTTTGCTTTAAAGTCCTTTCCTTAAGAACTGCAGCTAACAAGCTACAAACAAGTCATGCTTCAACCAATATTTTCCATTCTGCATGTGTTTTTATCCCATTCCTTAACTTTTTCTGCATACTGAAAGGATAAGAAATAGAAGCCATGCCCTTGTCTGGAATGTAAAGGACACACATTTCTAAATATTGAGCCTGTCACCCTTGCCTTAGTACAAATATAATGAACCTATAGAATCAATCAAATCACACCTCAAATCAGTACAAGATATGGCAATAACTTGCCATAAGGAGCTATAATTAGCTATCATCCCATTAGTGACAAGTCCTTGTTGCTTACTAAAAAAGCAGACAAGCATTTCTTCCTTTCATGTCCTTATCTATAAATTCTCCAGTTCCAACTTTGCTACAGTTAAAGTTGTTTACCTTTTCAGAATGAGTATCATCAGGTTCTGGTTCCCTCAAATATGGCACCCAGGCAAGAATATTGCCATCTCTGCCACTGCTATAAAGTTCCTGTCATTAAGAAACAAACAAAATAATGTTGAGTAATGCTGAATAAGGAAAGAGGATCCTTGCATCTGGGCACCTCAGCATGCTACTTTAGCATGCCGAGACATCAATTGGGCTGACAGGGAAATATTATTCAGAAATAACTTCCAATAAGCTCAACAAGAATTCCTTCATAATAAGCAGATTTTGTGTTTTTCTAAGTTACAATTGTACAAAGCAAAAAAGAACTAAGAGAATTGGTTTGATCCAGAAATATATAAAGGCCTGTATAAACCAAGAATAGGCTATCTTAAAAATTGTAACATATATGGCTAAACAATTTTCTTATCTCACCACTGTTTAATAGAAATAGGAGCAATGGCTTTTTGGTACCTTCTTCCAGGCTTTGAAACACTTGGCTAAGGAAAGTACAGCTAACTTCTTCTCTGTTATCCTGCTGTAGACAGTACTGCAGGCTACTTCTGCTGACTTTATCTTTTATTAGATTTGTATACCGCCCTTCTCCTTTCGGACTCAGGGTGGTGAACAGCCAAAATAAAAACATTTGTACACAAAAGTTAAAATAATTTTAAAAATAATTAAATGAAATTTGGCCCATAATTTAAAACATTTCAATTAAAAATCAGTACCAAACTTTAAAACCAACATGGAATCAGGCCAGCCCGGCTAACTGAAAAAAGTAAGTTTTCAGGGCCCGACGAAAAGTCCGGAGGTCTGGGGTCACTCGTATCTCTGGGGATAGATCGTTCCAGAGGGTAGGTGCCACCACAGAGAAGGCTCTCCCCCTGGGGGTCGCCAGCCGACATTGTCTGGCTGACGGCACCCTGAGGAGGCCCTCTTTGTGGGAGCGACTGCCGGCTGCCTATAATTTGGCAGTTCAAATCTCACCAGGCTCAAGGTTGACTCAGCCTTCCATCCTTCTGAGATCGGTAAAATGAGAACCCAGATAGTTGAGGGCAATATGCCGATTCTGTAAAACGCTTACAGAGGGCTGTAAAGCACTGTGAAGCGGTATATAAGTCTAAGTGCTATTGCTATCAGTATATAAAATGGCTTGAATGCTAGGTTGGGTAATCAGTTATATATTTTTTTTAAATCAATGTTTAAACTCTGATAATTGTTTTTTAAATATTATTATATTATTATTAGCTATCTTGTGGTATTTGTTGGTGAAAAGATTATACCTAAAGCTAATAAATTTGAAATATATTTGTAATGAATTAAAATAAATTAAAATAAACATGGTCATTTATTCATTTCTGTCTTGAGGTAGCAGAGACCCCCTGGTTATAGTGGATTACAACTTCAATCACTTCTAGAATTATAAAATATGTAGTTCGTTACTGAAGGACCTAAGCTAAGGGGAAATGGTCATTCCATTTAAAGAAAGAACTTTTTAATGACTAATGGGACAGACCTTTCAAGCTATGCCCACAAAACAACTTCAGAATATTATTTCTCATGTTCCATAGTTGTTGGCCTTGAAGGATAAGCCATGCAGGAGTCATAATCAATATTACAAAGAATTTAAATTACAATTTGTCTTCCTTCCTCCCATTATCTCCTTTACTTAGGAGTGTCTCCTCTGAGCCCTTTGCCCTGCCCTCTATCCAGCTGTGGGCTATGCTGTCTCTTTATCTGTCCATCCTTTGGCTATGCCTCTACCATTTCAACAGAGGAGTTGCAACAGTTTTTAAACATGTTTTCTTAAGGACTGTTCTTGGCTGTAGAAGTTTGGGATAAGACACTTCCAAAAAAGGCATCCTATGACAGGTCACTTTTATTTCTAAATTAGCATCTTTATCCCACTTTTCATATAATAATCTAAAAATACATTTTGTGGATCCTGAAAAAAACCTGAAACACTGCATAAACTAAAATTTCAATTGGGGAAATAGATGCATGGAAAGCCACAGCATAAAATTGATCCCCATCTTGAATTAACTGTCTTTCAACTTCAAGAATGTTTAAAATGTGTAGCCAGAAAGTGCATTATATAGAGTTTGCATTCGATACAAAGTTTTTAGAAATAACTCCTCCTACCAACATTTTCTAATCTACATGAATAATAAATAAGCTTGAGATGTTGATCTCCAATGACTTGCAAAGTTAATGTCATCTCAATGTAATGCAAAAACACAATTTAACATTTCTAAAGATTTCATGAATGATGTTAATTTTCATAAGGCACTTATTATAAGTCAAGTGTCATTAGGTTTATTTAAAGCATATTCAAAAATTCAATTGTCTAGACCAAATGGCTATAAAACCAAAGCTTATAATTTTTCATTATACATTTGCCTAACCGAGAACCTCACCTTAATTTGTGTACTAGCATTATTGTAATGCTGACATGATAGACTGCTCTAAAGACAGGAAGCTGCTTTAAATTGTATCAGGCTGTTAGGCCATCTAATTCAGTATTAGTCAATCTGATTAGGCACTAAATGGGATAGCAAGCATAAGTCTTTTGTTGTTTTGAAATTTCAAAGGTAGAATCTGGGTCCTTCAATATGTTTAGTTTAAAATCATAAAGATCCTGTAATCCCTTAATTTGGGATAGAGTTTGGGCGACTAGATGAAGCTGAGAGTTTACTAGCCGATGCCCTTCCTGATGCCACGTGGAGTTTGCAGCAAATAATTTTTCTTTGCACCCTAGGAGAAAAACACCTGCAACTACCTAGGATTGAACTCTCAACCTTCTGAGTGGTAGGCACTCAGGGCGCCACACTGCTCTCAGTTGAATCCCCCAATATACTCTCTTAAATACATAGCAGAAAAACCTTGCACAAATGAGACCTGCTCCTAATGGGAAGAGATAATCTTAAAGAAATACGTCATGATTTGTCTATTAACCATAATCGCTCAACTGAAATCCAATGTATAGAAATAGTCATTCTCTTACTATACTTTAAATGCTAGAGAAACACATGGAGAGACTGTCATAGAGACAATACATCATATTCAACCTCAAAGTGAAATGTCAAAAGGCTCTGCCTTCTTAAACTGAAATTCACTTGAACTCTACTGCATATAATCCTTATAGGGACCATGTACTCAATATAGTTCAGTGTTTTAAGGAAAACCTGTTTGGTGTCATGCTTAAATAACCTAAAATTCTCCAGATGGCTTCACTTACCTGAAAATTAGGTTGAAAGACACAGCAGTCAACTGAACTGTAATGTCCCCTAAGTGTAGTTATTAGGTCTCCTGAATAAATTGTGTAAACAGCAACAGTGCTATCGCACGGCACAAATGCAAATTCAGAACTGCAGCCATGTGATACAGTAAACCTGAGTCCTTTTTTACTTTCATTGCTCACCTTCCCATAATTTACCTGTAAAGATATAAGATAAAAAATTTAGCCTGCCCAATTTCACAAAGCAAATGTCCAATGGTTTGTTAAATTTTAAAAGAGGTTATTTCCCATTGAATGTACAATAGTGGCCAAAATTCTGGAAACCTTTTGGGAAAAGTGTATTTTTGAGGTTTGAGGGCTAATAACACCAGTTTTTTTGGAGTTTCAAGATAATCATATTCCACTGCTAAGTATTAACTGACATGATAATTTTTGTTTATCTCATTTTTTCTATGGTGATAATTTTTGTATATCTCATTTTTTCTACGTGTTTCACTTTTCTTCTTTGTATTGTAACTGCTATTTTAATAGCAAATCCTTCATAAAAGTTATTGCATTACATTCTTGATTAAATTATTTTTCCATTGATATGTAATTCTATGGTACTATTCCAAAAAAAGTAGTGTTATTAGCTAGTTTTAGAAAATACACTTTTCCCAAAAGGTTTCCACAATTTTGTCCACTACTGTATAGTACTGGAAAGAATACAGTCCTTTCCTACTCCACAATAGCATTTATCCAATTTTAGACTTGTATAACTCAGAACTCTTTAAAAGAGAGGGGTAGCCTTTTGGTAACTGAAGGCTACAATGGATAAAAGTGATAGAGCAGGAAGAAGAATCAAATAGATAATTTTGTGTCTTTGGGGGGGGGGAATCTCCCTGCCCTCTTTTTTGTGGCAGGGACCATTTCACAATTTTCTCTGTTAATTATTCTTGGACTTATGAAACATATATGTTACAATTTATTAACTCACCTGATCTTGTAAACGAAAGTTACACTAGTATTCTCTAATGCTGATGTAACATCTCTTATGCATGATGATTCTCAGCAATATTCAGCAAACCCAATTTTGAATCTACAGGAACTTGGATACCAATGGTTCTCCTAGTTTTAAAACTTGTCACCCAGTATAAAAACTTGCATTAATGTTATTATGTATGGAGGATTATTATATCACTTGCAGTAGGATTGTCTAAAAGTTTCAAATATTGGAGATTACATCTGATAAAAAGTTATAGTATTATAGGCAGCATGTGGCTTCATTTTTAAAATAGCAATTCATTACAGTTGCAATACAGTTTATATTTTTAAGAATATTATTCCCTCTTATTACCACATCTGTGACATTCAGGAATTCTTTTTCTCTGCAAATAGAATGTAATAAAATATGTGTTTGAATAAAATATATATGAAATATTATGAATATTGGAATGACTAGAATGTCCTTTATGGTATAACTTACTTATTCATAATATGTAGGACGAAGATATGATAATGATTTCCTATAACTTGTATGTATGCTATGTTGTTAAGCATGTTTGGCATGAAGATGTTTAATATCTAAATCTGCTGGTAATATGATGGCATAATTACATTTGGTTTAATCAAAATCTTTGGTGTCTATTTTAACGTTTTCCCCAGTATCCCAAGAGACTAAAGTTAACTGTATACATTTAAAAGGCACAAAACACAAATAAGGCTGTTATCATATATATGGTTACCTGAAAATTCCCGCTTAAGTCAATGGCGCTTACTACTAAGTAGATACTGATAGGCTTCAAAATATAAACATTAATAATTATTTTGAGGGTGCATTCTATATATGTTTATTTGGAAGTTTTGAATGTTAACTTTTGGAACCAACAGCAGATACATTAATGTGGGAAAGACAAATCAGAAATGTTTAAGCGTTGGGTTATATCATCTATTATACGTAAACCCCTATAGTGTGGAACCTTTTGACGTCTTATAAGGATATGTTTGCAGGGTATTTTTTTTCCTGATAAAGCAATTCAGATCTGCTTAGATCTAAACTCAACATTGGATAATACCAGTGGGAAGGATTGAGAAAATAAATTTGTTTCCAATTCCAATGATGTAAATAAGTAGCTTGGAGATTTATAACTTTGTTGGATAAACACCCATCTTGGGATACTAGAGAACATTTGCCTAAATGCATATTAGAAATTTTTCTTTGTCAGAGGAACATGTTTCAGCCCCTTTAAGAAGGTAAGAATAAGACTTTTGTTCAAACAATGGTCATTAACTATCATCACTGCACATTTCTGACCAGTCTCAAATCAAATCTTTTTGAATCAAATCTTAGACTATGTGGTGACATCAAAATCTCAGATTTTCTTGGATGAAGCTGATTACCTAAATCCGTTTTAATTCGGATAAATGCCCAGATTTGGCATAAATCTTTTAGATTTTTTTTCTTAACATCAATTGAAATTGGTCTTCTTGTTTCTTAAGAAAATTATGCTTATTTTATATACTGGGATGACAGAGAACAGGATACATTTTCATCTTCTTCTATCAGGCACCCCTCCCATAACTTGAAGTCTGTTTTTATATGCCTACCTCAATCTTTTCTTTCCAAAGCTAAACAATCTCAATTATTTCAAGCTTTCTCATAAGACTTATCCAACTTCCCTGATCACCCTCATTAACTTTTTTTTAGCTTCTGAAAGTGTCAGAGCTAAAAATGGACACAATGTTCAAAATGAAAAGTGAAGGAGAGCTATTACTTCCTTGTCTACATTCATTTGTAATTACATTAAAAAAAAGATAATTTCAAAATAATACATTCTCATCAGCTGACAAAAAAGAAGTTTTTACATTACAACTGTTAGTAAACCGAGAGATGTCCATGGGTGAAGAAAACAAACAGACTGCACTACTCACTTCATAACAAGTGACCTTTTTAGGACTGAACTAACATGCAGAGCCTTAATTAAAAAACTAAGTGAAAGTTGGCATGAAGAAATAAATGTTTTTCCTTGTGAAGCCTTGCAGATAGTTTTCAGGCATAAAAACTATTCACCAGTTTATAAATCTTTTTATGTAGCTGAAGTTTTTAAAGACAATTTAAAATGAAATGCATATTTTCATTAAATGAATTGGGGGGGGAAGGGTTTTTATAATGCACATCAACTTAGAACACACTGGCAATACAAAGGAAGGTTAAAATGCAACTGCTTTTTCTATAAGTAATAGCTAAGAAAAGAACGCCATTAGTCAGAGAGTTTACTAAAGCTTAATAATTTACCATCACACTAAAAAGTGTGGACTAAGGCACACAGAAGAGATAATTCTGCAAGTAGTTCTCTTTTATGTACAACAAAAATATTTTAAGAATGTAAAACTGGAGGGGAATGAAAAGATTAATGAACTGATAAGTGCCTTGGTAAGCAAATAGCCTGAACTATCAAATTTAAATAAAGAATACTTTAGTCTATATATTTAGCAGAATGAAGGGAGAGTAAAATAAAATGTGGCTATCATGGACTTTATTACTTTAAATATGATATCCATTTCAATATCAACCTTGAATGCAAGTTTGTGCAAAAGTAAGTCTGGCAGTAGAAAACTACTTTCATCTTACTGTCCTGATACTATTTTCCTCCTGAGTGCAAGTGAATGTTATGCTAGGAAATACTGAAAAACTATTATCTAATGCAAGGGTGGGTTCTAAATTTTTTTACTACCAGTTCTGTGGGCGTGGCTTATTTTGTGGGTGTGGCTTGGAGGTCATGTGACTAGGTGGGCATGTCTAGCTGGTCAGAGTCATTTCTGGAAGGTCCTCACACTTACGACCAGTCCTCGCACTTACGACCTGACTCATTTGTTTGCTTTTAACACTGATCAGCTGTAGGATGGCCTTTTGAAGCCCCGCGGCAAGAGTTTAAACAGTGTTTTTCCCTCTAGTCATCAGCTGGGACTCAGGAGGCAGCAATAGACTGGGGGTGGGATCAAATAAAAGGTAAGAATAACGTGCGTGCGTGGGGGGGGGAGGGCGGGGGGGGAGGACCGGTTCGGTGACGTCATATCGTCACCGCTACCGGCTCAGCCGAACCGGACCGAACCGGGAGGAACCCACCACTGATCTAATGTCTCATGATACGGAGGCATTTGACAGAACAGAGGTTCAATTCAGCTTCCTAACCTTCAGGAAAGTCACAGGAAGTCATCTGGTAATGTGGCAGTGTAACCAGAAAGGGATCAAAATTTTTCAGCATGTACTGTAGTGTATGTGTTTATGTGTGTTATCTGCAGTTTGCTTGGTTTTAGGAAGGCCTTTGTGAGGCAAACTGCTCCCCTTCTCTAAACCTAAAATGCCTCAAAGTACTATTTTTCTTAACACTGTCAGGCTGTTTTTCACTGAGTTGGTAGGCTAAGGAAGGGGATTTGAATTTTTGTCTCTTATCCCTACCCTTAGAACATTGAAAAAGGAAAAAATAAGCTGAAATTTGCCTCAAACCAGTGATTTGAAGCTATTTGAAAGAGTTGTTTGGGGGGAGATGTTAAGGGTAGATGTTGAGAGTTTTCTAATAATTAAAAATTTGCCATTTTGCCATGACTGTTTAGTGAAATGATCTTAGTGGATGAGATACTATGAGGGCTAGAAATGGTATAGGGTACTATTTTATCTTGTCGATATCCACTGCAGGATATCAATGCCCAGTGTAAATCACCTAACTATTGTGGATTACAATTGATATAATTTCTGACTATTTTAGGACTGATGGAAAGTATTATTCAAAATATCTGGAAAATCAGGAAATCTATTCTGTTGCACATCTACCATTCTGTTGCTACTTTAATAGCAGAAATAGCAGCTTCCCACATAGGAAGCATAGGTTGCCTCAGGAGGGTGGGGGAAACAGTGGGAGGCTCCATTAAGGAGCTGAAAATCATTCTTAATGAAATCTAATACAGCCCTTAAGTAAAGAGTCGCTCATGCACTGCATGTGTCTATCTTCCCAGAGCCTCCCCTACCCACCTGAGGCATCCCACACTCCTTTTCTCACCTTGCTGCTTCTCTGCTTGTATTTCAACTCCCTCTCTTCTCTGGGAGCTGACAGGAAGAACTGCTGTCAAAATATTTCATCTCCCCATTGGGTATGGAAAGGAACTCCTTCAACGGGATGCAGAAATGGAGCTGAAATTGTCAGGATTTCAGTTCCATTTCTGCACTCTGTTGAAGAAGTTCAGCTCTCCTCCATGCATGGAAGGCAATTGTTTTGCTTTGGTGTAAGAACAGAGCTGAAATCTTTGTTTCTCTACTCTGCAAAAGGAGTTCAGTTCCCCTCCATGCATGGAAAGTTATTCCTTTGGATGGCTACAAGAACACAGCTGAATTCTTGCCTCTCAGTAAGCAGCTTTTTCAGTCAGTCCCTAGAGATGAGAGGGAATCCTCCTGGCAAGTGGCAGCAGCTTGTAGCTGGCTTTCCCGTTGGGTTTCTAGGGAATCTGCAGAGTTGTTTGCAAATGGCAGTCACACAAATTCAAGGCACTTGGCAACTGGCTGTAAGGGCAAACAGAATGCCCAGCATTCAGATCATGATCATGTAATTGCAGGGTGGTGCGACATTTAGAATAGTTGGAAGTATGCATTCCAAAGCCATCATCATTCCAGACCATTGTTAAATGAACAGCTGTAAATCAAGGACTACTTGTATTCTATCTGCCAGCTGAGAATTAATAGAAAAAAGTTCAGAGCATAGTGAATTGAGAGGATAACGGAGTACCATATTTTAACTAGGCTCCCTTCCTGTGTTCTATGCTGATTGCTCTTGCAGTGACTGGTTGACTCTGAATTTCAAAGATTCATGTCTATTAAAACTTGCCTTAGATAGACTTAGATAATCTAGTCAGCACTCTTCTATTGAGTAGTGACTCTTAGGGAAGATTTCAAAAAGGGATAATTAGTAGTATAACTAGCTTGAAAAGCCAATGGTTGCACTTAGTGCGCTTTCTGTCCACCTTGACAAAGTTTTATTTAGTCACATTTTTCTTGTCCTAAAGGTGCTTTTTCAAAAAAGCAACTGGACTTTGTTTTCAGTAGGATATCAAAGTCAACTGAATACTTACACTGAATATACATGTACTAGACGATATGGCAAGTTATGACAAGTATAATTGCCATATTGTTGTGATTGAAACAATTATCCAACAACTGGCTGAAGGTATCTTTTTAACTATTTCATTTTGTGATTGAAAACCAACCTTCTGGCAGCTTCTAAGGTGTGGCAATGGGAAAAAGTTTTACTAAATTGCAAAACAGAAGTTTATCTCCAAATATCATTTACATAATGATAAGCAGTATCACATTAATTGCTATGGATAAAAAAACTATATTAGTATAGACATTAACATATTGCATCAAAATAATACTGCTTTTTAAATATAGAGCCTTATTCAACTACAATTTTTTTTTAATTACAAAACACAGAGAGTTGTCCAACCAGATGTCCCAAGGCTACTTGTGGCTTTCCATAGCCTTGGACAGTGATCCCTAAGCTTTCCAAAAATTAATTCGTTTGAATGTTATTGAATGAAATATATGATGAAACCTTAACTGTATTTAACTAATTCAAAGTTAAAATGTAAAGTTAGTCCATATCCAGGACCTGTTCATTTCTTGAAGTGTGGCCAGCAAACGTTTATTGGAAAATCAAATTCAGCCCTTAGCCCCCCTCCCCAAAATTATGCACCCCTAAAAAAACAACTTGGTCAACACTGTAAGATCCCTGGGTTATTCCGTGTTTTCCCGAAAATAAGACCATCTTATATTTTTTTTGAACCCTGAAATAAGCGCTTGGCCTTATTGCCATGCGCTCAAAAGCCCAATTGGGCTTATTATCAGGGGATGTCTTATTTTGGGGGATACGGTATTAGAAAATATTTTGGTGGAGCTTAAACTTACAACTCATTGAGTACAAACAATTAAAGAGTGTTACTAAAATAAACACTGACAAATTACAGCAACTTTGAAACAAATTTTCAATATCTTATTTTACAAAATCCGTCATCTCATGTTCTAAAGAATATCGGACCTGTGCCTTATGATTGTAAGATTGGATTAATTTAGATAGAAAGATAGATCTATAGTGTTGCTTAAAAGTTGGTGAATTCTTTTGGATTTTCAATATTTCTGCACAAATAAGACCTAAAATATGATATATTCTACACACGTCTGAAAACTAGATATCGTACAATAGAGAACCTTATTAAATAAACGAGTCAAAAACTTTATACATATACTATGTCAGATCTTATAGAAAGAAATACAGGAGAGTTAGAAATTTCTCAAAATAGGTTGCTGGAAGTTAGCTACATACCACTGCAATATAGAGAATCACTGTGGAAATATAGTAGCCCTTAACTGAATTAACTGCTAAAAGGGACCTACAGTATATAAGAAATGTAAGATAAATAAGATCATTAAGTAGGTATACTTGCAAGTTGATAATATCTGCAGAGAGTTAGAAGGAACAAGTTTGAATCTTCTAATGCATAGAACAAAAACTAAAATGAACAAAAAAGGCTTTTGGGGGCTTTTACTAATAAGAGGAAAAGGCAATAGGTGGACTTGCTGCTTAGGAATGATTCAGGATGATAACATGTTATTAAGGTAAGGCAGAACTTCTCATATCCTTCTACCCTGAGGGAAAACATAATGAAATGGACTGAAGTAGAAAATTGGGCAAGGGGAGTGTGTGATAACCTAATGCAAGTAAAGAGATGGTTAAGGAGCACCAACTACTATGAACAAGTTTAAATCTCCAGGACCAAATCTAGAGCTTGTTGATGTCATCTTGAAGTTTTTTCTGTCCTGTTTCAGAAATTAGTATAGTATTATAGGAGGGCAAATGTTGTTCTTGCTCTCAAAAAGGAGAAAGAAAAAGAACTGGAAAACTACAGTCCTACCAACTGGATTTCAAAGAAATGGGTAAAACATGGCAAAAGCCAACATGGGTTTATCGAAAGTAAACCATATCAAAACAACAGAATCTCCTTTTTCAATAAATTGACTAGTTTAGCTGACTAAATGTGGCCGACACTGTGTAACTCAAGTTTTATATTTGGGTAGGAAAAGAAGACAATATAAGATAGAGCTGATGTACTGGGTACACATGAAAAAGAGATTTGAGCTTTTTGGTGATTCACAAGATGATAATGAATTCATGGTTTGAGGTAGCTGCATAAAGAAGAAATTATGGTTTCCAGGCTGTATCGTATCAAGAGTAGAGTCAAGATCAAGAGCAAACAGTTCCTTTCTATTCTATATTGGTCAACTGCACCTAAAATACTTTATCCAGTTCTGATCATATTTTAGGAAAGACATTGAGAAACTGGAGCATGCCTGGAGGAAAACAACTAAGATGAGGAACATGAAGAGATATAGTTACAAACTACTGGAGGATAAAATGCTTAGTATGGAGATAAAAAGTCTGTGGGAGACATGATAGCTGTCTTCCAGGGTCTGAAGGACTGTCATGTAGAAGATGGGGCAGAATTGTTCAGAGTTCTTCCAGAAGATAGGAAAAGAAACTGTGCAATTAAATCAAGATGTTTAATTGGACTAAGGAAAAGAGTTCTAATAATAAATTAGTCAATAGATTATATGAAAAGGTGACAGTCTCTCCTTTGTGGAAACTGTTTAAACAGAAGGTGAATGGCCAACTGGAATGGACAGGGGGTTGGGCTAAAAGAGCTCCAAGTTACTTTCCAGCCCTCATAGTTTATGAATTTATATATAAGCTTTCAAGGCATATATGCTTCTGGATTAGAAATACTCTGCTTAAAGGAAGCAACTTGTTTTATTTCTACAGCACTTTCCACACAACAGACGTCTACCATACTTTGCATTATTAAGAAGCTGCATAGCTGAGAAAAAGCCTTAACTATATATAGTTTGACTATGGTGAATCCAACAGTTGATATATTCTCCACTATAACCTTTTCCTCTTCTCCTATATGTAATACTCTATAGTATTTGCCTCATATATATTGGCTGAACACCAATCCTTCAAATAAGACTCAAGATAGGGAACACAGTCAGGATATATCCCTAAGTGTCCATATTCCTCCCCAAAACCTGTTCAGACATTACTTCTTAATATACTTTTGCAAAGCGCTTTCATTAACTGGTTAACTAATGCATGATATTATGAATAAGTTTATTTCTATTTTCAAAATAAACGCTTACAGTCATAGGCCATGCAAATTACAGATTCCTACTGTAGAGCAAGCTCTCTTATAAATACCTCAAGGAGGCTGAAAAGGGAGAGCCTATAAGATTATAAGTGCAGGCTAGTAAGGTAATAGTTTTTAATTTGAATTTTATGGCCAACATTCAACATGTGGAAGCCCGTTAATTACCGCAAGAAAGAGGTCTAATTATGCTGGGTTCTTTTTAAAATCTCATGTTTACGTTCCATTATTTCCCTAGTGTTCTCTTCCTCAAATTCACATTACACTTTTTCTATTCTCAGTGTAAGCTTCACTATCTTGTGTCCAATTCTTTAACATTAAAAGATACATTTATATCCATTATGTAAGAAATACCCATCTTCCCACACAATCTCATAATTTATAAGCTGAGATATTCTGAAAGAAAGGAAGAAAGAAGCAAAAATATTACCTTGATAACAGAATTTCAATACACAGGATTTCTAAAAAAACCTGTGCACGCCTAATATGTATGGATGATCAGTGGAATATAATTTTAATCCAAAACCTGAGCTGTCTTTTCTGTCGTCATAATCAATCAATACTTCCTATTCTTATTTCAAGTTTTTATTTTATTTATTTATATCTCACCTTTATAATTCTTACAAATAACTCAAGGCAGTGAACACATGCAACACATCTTCCTCTTCCTATTTATCCTCCTATCTTGATGGAGACAAAGCACCAATATTGTTTTAAAAGACTGGAGATATAAACAATTCCACATTTCTAACCACATATTTCTTACCAGTGTGTTCTCTCCAGTTGAACTATTCCAGAGTCTCATGCGATCATCTGTACCAATTGTCAAAAGGTAAAGCCCATCACTGGTAAAACATAAGCCATTGACTCTTCCGTTATGGGCAGTATTTACTATAAGGAAAATATGCACAATTTGAAATTCTGCACAGCAATATATATAGCTTGGTATTGCAAAAAATAATTATTATATCATGAAAACATTGTGTTTTGAAATTTTAAAAATTATATAAAATATCCTGTTACATAACATTTATTATGGAAAGGTAAGTACTGTATTTAAGGATGTACTGGTAGCATTATTAGAATAATATCTGCATCAAGACACCAATGTCATTTTATTTTTATTTTTTAAAGGAAAAGGGAGAAGGATCAACTAAAAAAAATAGCAATACTAGATGAAATATATGATTGAGCAATTTATTAAATAGTATCCAATATTTTTAATTTCATTTGTTTTATTATGGAATGTGGCTGTCCAAATTTTTACTGTCAAGAGTATCATGTTATTTTTCTTCTGCTAATACCATTTTTAATGGCTATTCTTTAGCTAGATTTGTGCCTAAAAGAATTCCACTTGTGTAAAAATGGAGTAATGGCTGGTGTCAGGTGCCAGCAACCAGATCCACAGGTGTAAGCTTCAAGCCAACTACTTTATTATATTCTGCCTATTATATAGGAGTTCCTTCAGACTACCAGCCTTCACCTGGGAACAGACAGATAAGGCTCTATGGAGCTTAAGGGAGGGACATTTGTAGATGTCTTGTGGCCTAGGTCATTGATATTTGCATTGACTCCTTGCTAGAGTAGTTGCAACGTGTGGAATCGTGGAATGCCGGGGGAGGCATTTTGGAGATCATCTGTTTTAACTCCCTGCCCAATGCAATAATTCTCTACAACAAAACTAAGGGCAGCTTATTGTTCCCTTGCTCATTAACAACACTTGTTAATGCTTGAATATTTTTTCTGAAGTAAGATGATGTTATACCACCTTAATTTCATAGAATCATTTATATATTCTACTGGCATTTTTACTAGAATGACACACCATAGAAGAGAAGAAAAAAAAGCAGACAGACATTTCCATATTATTCCCCAATTAAAATTAATGAGTTAAGACTTGGGAAAGCTACTTGCATCCTAGAAAAGATATGAAGATGAACAGGATTCGTATAATCCTGGATTATTTTTGTAGGTAAAAATAGACACATGGGCTTAAACCAGCTAGTTAATCCCTTTAAAATTCTCAAGTTTCAGTATGGGAGATTTCAACAGATCATCCATTTCAACACATTGAAATCATATTTAATTATTGTCTGAATCATTCTAAATTACTAGGAATCATAATTACAGATTTAAAACAACTAAGAAAAAAACATTTTTTTGGTTGAGAGTTGTAGTCCCTTGGGGGACTATATAATATATTGGTGTCATATGCTAACCATGAATAAGACAAAAGCTAGTATTTTTAAAAAGGTCATGGAACCTTTCATATAGCATTTAGTACTGACACTGTCATCTATCCTAGGCTATATAATAGCATGGTTCCCTTTTAATATGAACTTATATTAGAATAATTAGAATAAAATAATTAGAATTAAAAAATAATAATTAGAATAAAACTATAATATTGATGTATGAAATATATTACTTGCTTCAGAAGCTGCTTTTGACTTCTCCCCATTATGTTGATCAAGAGTGAGTAGACAGGCAGATGCTCTCCTTACATCCCACAATTTTACTCTACTGTCAGCACTAAAGGAAAAACAAACTTTGAGGTGATTTATGAGCAATACAAATGAACTTTCAACAGTTTTATAATTATTTTATTTTCAATTATTTTAACTGGGATATATTTATGTGTTCTTTTATAAATGCAGAAAATGATCTCTGAGAGTTTCTTTTGGAACGATATTCTAATTATCCCCACCCCTTCCCAAAATATTCTGAAAACAAACTCTAAACCTCAAAAGCACTGCTGACTCCAGATAATCTTCATCCAGTTAACATCATATGGACATGATCACATGTCCATATTTCAATAATTTGGCAACCGGTTTGCATTATAACCAATTTCAGTCACATGATTTGCTTAATGACCACCGATTATTCAGTCTTATAACCACATGATTTGCTTAACAACCACTATAAAATGGTTGAAGAATTGGGTCTGGTTATGTGGGTATCTCTGTTTATGATCATAATGATGTACAACTGAAATTCCAATCCCAATGGTGGTAATAAGTCAGGGCTGTCAAACTCTTGGCCCATGGGCTGGATGTGTCATGTGCTGGCCATGCCCATGCCCAGTTTAACAAAGGGGGAAAAAGTCCCCATATGTCATGTGATGCCACCATTACGATATGAGTTTGACACCCCTGTCATAATTCAAGGACTTTGTGTATTTTAAACTCTTATGAAAATCAGCAAAAATCAGTTATTGTGAAAGATAAGACTTGTCTTCTTAAAGGCTTTTTAAAAATCTAAGTACCTACCAAAACCATCAAATTAGGTGTGAGGAAGGCTTTGGTTTACTTCAGGACTTTTAAGATATTCCTAAATGTGCTTTTTTAAAGTAGTAATTTTATTAAAAATTATAACTATAATGATAAAGAATATAAACTATAAAAAGTAAAAAGTAGAAGATAAAGTAAGACAATAGAAATTACTGAAAAGAAAACTAATGAAGAAAAAGAAAAGAAATATATAAAGAAATGACTTTCCCTTCATCATAAGTATAATACTTGATTATTTTAGTAATTTATGTCTTAAAACAGAAATCATCTTTGCTTCCCATATTTCATATCTCATCTATAAATGAATCCTTACCCCTTGTTGTCCAGTCCTAGGCAGCAAAAGTCAATTAAGGGTTACCAGAGATAACATACCTACTTTAACCTTGATCAAATAAATCACCTTTATATTCCTTCCTTTATCTTAAACTTTAGTTCCTTCAAAAAATGTCCTAAAATACATTTCTCTTTGGTTTTTTTCTTTGTCTCCTATGAAATTCTTCAAAGCTTTAATCAGTCTCTTTTGTGAATCCAATATAAGAAGATTATTCAGGTAACTTACTTGGTTTGTTATTTATTTTAAAGTTATTTTAATTATTAAGATATGTCAGTTTCTTTTGTTATGAACCATCTTTTTCCATATCATTCTTGGAGCTTTTCATTAATTCCATTTTCAAATCTGTCTCAATTTGTCTTGTTCCACTTCCATATCATCTTTTAAACAAAGTCTATCTATAGAGGCAGACACTCTTAAAATCAACTTCTGGGTCCATTATTCAAAAATATCCTCCAATATGCCCAATATTAAGATATTTTGCTACATTCTATATTAATAAGTCACAGTTAAGTGTTACCTCCCTTTAACTGTGATCTTTAGACACTTTTAATTCCCTCTAGTGTCCAACCTTCAATGTCTTCTCTGTTCTGTATTTTTTAAAGAACTCAAAATAAAAGTATTTTCCCAGAGGGTTCTCATAATTAATACTAAAACCCTTTTTTTGTACCTATTTCTTTTGCTAGGAAAGTCACTGGTGCTCTAAACCTTGAAGTTCCAAAGATTCCTAATAGTTGAAAAGCAGTTAACAATTTCCAAAAGTGATTAGAAAAGAATGTGGGGACTTCCCGTGAATGCCATGTGTGACTGATATCCTTCTAGTAGCAAGACCACATTTGCAAGAATTGTTGCTAGATGCAGGAGCCAGGCTGTTAAAATCACTCTGAAGGAAGGAGAGATTGTTGAGATTATCCAACAGCCAGTCTTCATGAGTAGATCACAAAAGCTGCTGTTTTGCAGTCAGTTTATGAGATCAGTGGCTAGGAGCTGTGATTCTATCAAGCTCACACTCATAAAACCGCATTTGATGGACATGAATCTTGATCAATTTCTTAATAATTTTTTGGATTTTTTTTCTGTACTGGAGAGAAAACCTGTTTGGCAAAGTTTTGTATTCTGACATGAATTTTAATGGTTTGTTTTAGTTTTTAATAATATTGGGGCCAAATTATTTAATATGTTTTTAAATTGTTTTTTAAATTTTGTGGATATATGTGTTTTATTGTTGGCTGTGCACCGCCCTGAGTCCCTCGGGAGAAGGGCGCTACAAAAATTTAAATAAATAAATAAATAAATAAATAAATAAATAAATAAATAAATAAATTAGGCGAGTCCTCATTTCTTTAGAGAAATATGATGTAAATTTGATTTTAAAAGCTTTTGAATATACGTTTTGGATTATGCAGCAAAAGGGTGCTTAGAATATGAATTTTGGATCATTAGCAGTTTAAGGGTCCAGTTAGATTTGGAATCTGATTTCATTAGAATAAATTTTATCATGGAAAAATGGTCATTGTTTACAGTTTTTATGATAAGGGGACCTTGAAGATTGGGCGCTAGAGGGAACTAAAGGGTAAAAAAAGAATGGGCAGATATTTCTCTGCCAAACCTTTTGCTAAAACAAATAAATTTCTTGATAAAATGGATGCAGCATGCTGTAATGAAGCTGTAGAACAAGTACAATGAATAATTTTGAAATTATCTAGAAAGAGGATTTAAATATAAGCAATAAGAATATGGAGAAAGATAGAGACATACAAGTGGAACTGATGGATGACTTATTCCATAATTGATATGTACAAGTATTAAACTAGGAAATAGATCTTTTTTATTATACAAAATAACAGTGTTAAAGTTTTGAAAGAACTGTGATTCCAAAAACAGATGAACAGAAAATTAGATCCTTATTGAAGGGATTAAAAAAAATGAAATTAAAAATGCTCAGGAACTGTACAGGGTACAAAATGTGATGAATTTTGGAAAGCAGCAGCTTATTGCTTTTATTTCTTTTCCTAGAAGTACTCTAATGGGACATTTATTATCAAATTAAGTAAATGAATAAATGAATAAAAATACCCTTGATCATAAATTTGTCATTATTTAATGAATATTGCTGATGTAGGTATCAAAAAAGTTAAGTTTGAAAAGAACACAGAGGCTATTAAAATATTCATTCAGCAATAATATAGTAAATCTTTGACTTAACTCTAATTTTACATTTCAATGCCAAGATTTATATTCATGGTTTAAAATATTTATCTGCTTTTAAATTTAATTTTTTTTTAAGAAAAATCAACTTAGGAAATGCTGCCAACCTGGGCATTTAAGGTCAGAAGTAGGGGACATGGTGGCATTAAGTGATAATTACATAAATACCATGACTTATATACTTGGATCAGGTGACTTAAGGGAGTATGTAATCATGGCAGATATTGTCACTGTGTAATTTGTGCAAGATATAATTTTTACGTCATTGCACTTTGTATGGATGCCACTGTCAAAGAAATTTAGAATAGGTTTTTTAAAACACTGATTGACTTTAATAAACATTGCTTTATTTTATTGGTTTCTTTTACCTTCCAGTTGCTAAAATAAATTCATAACGGGGTGACCAAGATACTGCTAGAATTTCTTGAGTATGACCTAAAAATACAAAAGCATAATAATATTTTTGGTTTATTAAGACAGGTTTAACATTGTTTTCTATTATTCTCCTCTTACATAGATCATATTGAAAATTTTTGTACAGACTTTAATACTACTGTATATTTTAAAAAAGAATAGTAATCTAAATTTGCATTTTTGTTACAAAATGAAAACTTTGTAAATTGCAAGGCTCATGCAAATAGAAATAACTTTTCAATTTTAAATTAACATGTATAAACTAATTATATAAACACTAATTCTTATAGAAATCCAGCATCATGTGTCACTCAGTTTATATGAATAATTCTTTATATGAATAATAATTTTCTGAAGGCACTATTGAGGACCATAGAATATGCAGAGCGAAACATCATGTCATTTTATATATCAACATAAATTCAGATGTAATTCTGGTAATGGAGGAAAAGTAGAATTTGTGATAACATGTATAAGTACAGCAGAATTCAAGGGTATAGTTGTAAGAAAAGAACTATGCCATTACAGAATGAAGATGCAATAATTTTCAATGTTAACAGGATTTTATAAGATTTGCATCCAAAATGGCATTCCTTATTTACATCCTGAAACAATACAGGTAAATTATATAGCTCAGGATTCTAAATCTATTCCATAATGTATTAAGTCTGAATTCTTGTCAGCTATTAAGCTGTCACTTTTCACACCACAGATTCTGAGCTGATACCAGAAGGTAGATACCAGATACGATACCTGAGATAATAGAGGAAGGTCACCAACTAATAACTGTAAACTCCTTGGCAATGGTGAATGGGAACAGGGCAATACAAAGGGCAGAAAGAATGAAAAAGGAGAGTGCCCTACAAGAGAAATCATTCCCTGTTCATTACTTGTTTTCTGGAATAAGAACATTGTTTCATGGCTTACCTGAATTAGTTTACAATTACAAATATAATTTTAATTAACCAGGTGTAATCTAAAACACTTGGACAAATATTACCAAGAGTGTTTCTCAACTTGCTTAGAAAACTACAATTTTACATCTCAATGATATAAAACTCAAGGAGTCCAGCTTAAGTAGACATCAGCATTTTTTATAATTATCAATAATATATCTTTAGGCCAACAGGATCAGAAAAATGTTAAGTAAGAAAGCCCTTCTCACTGTGTTTCTTTGACAACTGGCACTAAACACATCTGTCCTATTACTTACAAAGAAAATATTGTTCAGTGCAGTTCTTTACACAGTGTGGTATACTCAAAGTAGTTATTGTCTAACATTTATGTTTCAGAGTAAGAAATACCCTGCAGAATGTGAGAACAAGATCCAGACTTGAAGTCACAAAGTTGTACTTTGGAGCTTTTGGTACCAACTGTAACAGAAAAAGACAAAAACACATTACAGAAAACAAACACAAGCTCTGCATGTTGATATAAAAAAATATACAAAATGCTGCTATAAAAATAGATAGCAGTTTTAATATCTTTAAACTTTGCATAGGTTCATTAGAGAATTACTTTTCTGATAATTACATTTCTCATTAGCACACAGCATCTTTTTCATAAACAAGAACAAGAAAGAAGATATTATATATTTTCTTTTATAAAAAAGGAGTATATTATAATAAAGGAAACATTTATGTGTATGTGTAGAGCAAAACTTTATATACTTCACCCTATACAGAGTTTCAATTGGATTGCCCTTAATGCTGACTAATACTCTTCTTGTTCATGAGATGCTCTTGTTTTCTAACAACTCAAAATATAGTCAAAATGCCTGGTAAACCATTATGCTACATTTAATTAGTGGCATATGTTCATTGAAATATAATTCAGATCACCTCATTTTGACTAAGTAAGTAATGTGAACCATGAATATCCTTAAAAATATGGTCGTGGGGGAGAGAGAAATGATAGATGAGTCAGATATGTGGCCCCATCATGTAACAAATATGACTGATTTTTTTATTTTAAGATTATTATTTGCTATGCCTAAGTATCAGACTGGCCAAGAAATATTTTAATAGTACAATTTGTGCATGTTTATTAAAAAAGCCCCAATGTGTTCACAAAAGCATGGTAAATATCTAGAAAATACGTTACACAATAAGATTATGTATTATTCAAGTATTCTTTCTCAAAAGCAAAGGTTTGTAGAGACCAATAATTATAAACAGAAACCAACAGCAGCCCTACTGAAATTATGCCACATTTGTAACTCTAAATTATGTTATTTTGCAATCTTAAATATAGAAAATAATTATTTAAAAAAATGAAAGTTAAAATATGATTATTATGTTCAAAATATATTTAAAATTAATGCAAACCTGCAATTAAGCAATGTCTTGTAGCAACAGGAGACATATGATGGCTATATACTGTCTCATCAAAATGAAATTCATCAGCAGGCTGTTAATTGAAAAACAATACATTATTAAATACTTGGACCAATTCAAATCTTAACCAGAAGCAATAGACCATAGATATTATTTATAACACAGTAGCAAATATAAAATAGTGTCACATTTTAATCCTCCATATACCATCAACATAATACAAAGATACATGTACTTATAATTACAAAATTAAACAGCTTTTACTTAACGTTTTTAATCCTGTTTTCAACTACAAGAGAAAAAAAATCTCATACCATTCTACATTTATATTACGTTTAGCCCCACCTACATCTTACAGTTGCTTTTCCTATTTTTATATATGTCCACAAATTTTTACATTTTATAATTTTTATATATATTATTCACAATTGTCAGTTATAAAATGATTAAATTTCAGTACTATTAATATCTGTAAAATTGAACTTTAAATTTTAAACACGTTATTTTCCATAAGATATTAAAGAACATTTATTCCTTATTTATACAAACTTGTGCATAAAATAACATTGTAGTAAAATAATTTATTACTTTTTATTATCATTTTAATGCAACCTTTGAATGTGGTGCCCTTTAACCATAGATATATTTATTTATCTGGCTTTAAAGTTGATAGGTACAAATGAAAACCCAAGTGATTTCTTGCTTTTGTGAGAAAACAGTGGCTGCACTGAGATTTGGTTCAACTTGATGCAACACTGAAAATGCAGTAACATTTTCTCCACAATTTTGAAGAGGTAGAGGACATCTTCATGGTCTCTGAAGTTTAAAATATCTACCTTGATTAAGATCTGCTTTGAATTGTCATTGTAACATAATTCCAAAATTTCCCTTTAATTTATAATTTCTACATTATATACATTTACTTTGTATGGATTCATCATGTATCCCATTTCTCTGTCTCTGTCTGTCTGTCTCTCTCCCCCCTCCCTTTTTCCCACAATACTTCTCAAAGTAATTCCATCCTTTTTTGTTTCCTCCTTTTATGGTATTTTTGCAAAGAGGAAGATGAGTGTGTATAGTTTGTACATGTTGAGATTGAGTTACATGGTTAATGTGGCAATTTAGTAAATTAGATTTAGTTAATTAGGAGTTATAAATTCAATGTAATCTATATTTTCTATAATCTACATTTCTATAGATTATATACATTTCTGTAGATTATATACAGAATATAATCTGTATATAATAGAATATATATGTAATAGTATATATATATATATATATATATATATATATATATATATATATATGTACAGAATATATATGTAATCTATATTTTCAGCCATCTTGTGCCTTTTTGGAATGTGATTTCTTAGATACATACTATGCGTGTAAATATATATAATACATACACAGATACACATGCCCAAATTTATTGTATAATGTATGACTCCTAGATGAGGAAAGTATCTGGGGTCTTCTAGATATAATCTGTCTTTGAAATAGCATGAACCATTCCAAGAATGCATGGATTAACCAACTCTAGCAGAAAAACAAAAAATTCTAAGAACAACCCACTCTATTTGCATATCCCTAGGTTATACTAGCAACATCAAACAATTCTATGAATCTTGTAAAACATAAATTCTAAAAATATACACCTGCATCTCTAAAATGTGCTGTTTCTCTTACTTGGCTTGTAGGTTCCAACTACTAATACCTAACTGGCAAGATTATGTCAAACTACAAACTATGATCATGTTTAGATGACATACTAAACATGCTGTGCCAAACCAGAGTTATTGATAAGACTCAATAATTTCTGTAAAACTGTTTCTGAGTTGACGCAAGAAAAACATTCTTGGTTATACCTTTTAATGTTTCTAATGTTAGGTGTCCATTTCAAGTCCTTGGAGATAATAGAACCTAGAAACTTAAAGTCTCTACAGTTGATATTGTGTTGCCTAATATTGTAAGAGGTGGTAGAATAGGAGAGCTTCTTCTAAAATCTACTATCATCTCTATAGTTTTAAGAGTCTTCAGCTCCAGATTGTTCTGGTTGCACCACAGAGCCAGTTGATATATATCTCCAGTGTTCTAGGTGATTTCCCCTAGTTTCACCTGCTGCTTCCAATTCATTAGAAATCTTATAATCCATCTACAAGTGTGGTCAGGACCATCAGGCACAACTAGCTGAGTCAGTTAATAGAAGAGGATTTCAAGAATAATGATGTTGAATGCTGAGCTGAAGTACAAAAAGGACTCTTACATAATTCTTTGGTGATTCAAGATATAGTAAGATGTAGTGCAGTGTCATATTGATAGCATCATCTGCTTGATCTATTTGCATGGTAGGCAAATTGCAAGGGGTCTAGCAGCAGATATGTGATGGCTTTCATATGTTTCAGACCTTTCAAAGGTTTTCAAAACTATGGATGCCAGAGCCACCAGTCTGTAGTCATTCAACTCCTTGATGGAGGGTTTCTTGGGCACCAGAATGATAGTAAAGCGTTAGGGATAGCCAAGAGGCTGATTTGATGGCAAGTAGGTTATTGAGAATATTATTTTTTAAAAGTACCATAAGATGCACTTACCCCCCCCCCCCCCAAAGTGGTGCCAGTTCTTTGGTGAATAGCAGCTGGGCTGCAGCGGCGAGGGGTCCTTTTACAGTGCTGAACCCCGCCTCTTCTGTCTTTGTCATTGCCCATCTCTTCTGTCTCTTTTCTGCAGTGCAGGAGTCAATAGGCAGGGCTGGCACAGGAGACGACACCTATCTGTGGTCCTCTCAGGCTCCACCTGATATATTTTTTCTTGATTTCCTCCTCTAAACTTAGGTGCATCTTATGGTCATGTGCGTCAGTGGTGGGTTCTAACCGGCTTTACTACTGGTTCTCTTTGTGCACACGCTTCGCGTGCAATCGCCGCAAGAAGCGCGTTATGAATCTATCCAGCTGAGGTGCGGCAATCCACTCTGCAGCACCTATCAGCTGGGCTAAAAAAGAAGAAATAAAAGGTAGGAATAATGTGGGGGCGGGCAGGAGGGCCCAGCTCCCGGACAAAGAGAACCAGTTTGGTGACATCATATCGTCACCGCTACCGGCTCAGCCGAACTGGGAGGAACTCACCACTGACGTGCGTCTTATAGTGCAAAAAATATGATAATTTATTTTAAATTACTTTTAAAAAATAATATTTTTTAAAAAGCAGGAAAAATTTTAGCTGACTACTACAAAGTTGACTGGGATATCATGTCTGCTCCACAGAACCTGGTCTGTCCTTTGTTTGCAGAATCATATATAATACTGAGTAAATTATTCACAATTACACCAAACGTGGCATGTTATGTGGACATTTTCTCTAACTTTAAGCTCATTCAACATAACGGCCAAAATGTAGCTTGTGGTTTTAACTTAGCATGTTTGTTATCTTAGCTACTATGATTTGTAAACTACAATTTAATATGACGAACTCTGCTTTAATAAACAATGGTTATATAATCTATGGTTTACCGCAATGTATAAGACTGTCTGACATTTACAAGTAATGTAACCAAGTGATTTAAAGGCTACTTTTCCATGATCAACTATTTAACTTTCCGTACCAAGTACAGACTCTTTGCTGGTCTGTGATCCCACATCAACTCTTGAGACCAATCATACATTAGGCTTGATTATATTGTGTATTCATTTAAGTTGCTTTACAAAAATTAGCCAATCCCTTATAAAAACAAGGATGTGTTGAAATACTAGAAAACTTACCTGTAAAGTATTTGTATCCCATATTTTCAGTGTTTTATCAAATGAACTTGAGGTAAACATGCCAGTATCATGAGGATACCACTGAACAGTCTCTACGCTGTATTTATGAACACCAGGATGGTTCCTGTAATAAAGTAAAATTGACAGGGATGATTTGCTGTAATAATGCTCAACAAATCTGAATATGTAAATTTTTTCAAGACCTAAGTAGCAAACCCCTTGTAGGAAGAGCTAAGATTAGTTCAAACAGGAAGGAAAGATTAAAATAGCTCAAATACTATACTAACTGCAATTTTACCTTGGTTTAATGTAACAGAAAAGATCTTAAGCTGGCTCTGCCACCTACTGGATAAATATTTAATCACACAATTTAAAAAAACAAAAATCAAAAATACAAAAGCCTTCCAAAGAAGATCTACAAGGCCATCTCTCTTAACCAGCAGTTTTCAATCTGTTTCAATTCATAGCACACATTACAAAGGTGGGACTTCCAGGTCTTGAAACAGGAAATCCTATGGGATCACAAAAAGAATGGAGGCAGTCCACCTGGTGAGGTCATAGAAGTAGGTTTCTGGCTGAGGCAGCATACTTGCAAACCTATTGTGGCACACCAAAGTGCTGCAGTACAATGGTTGATAACCAAACTTTGCTCTAAATCAAAGTGTACAAAATTAGGAGCCATTACGGCAAACTTGGAAACAATGGACCAATGAAGAGGAGACCAAAGTTTATTGCTCTGAATAGAGCAATAGCTCTGAAGCAAAATTAGGTTAACCATTCAAAGTTACAACGCCACTGAAAAAAGTGACTTATGACCAATTTTCACACTTGTGACCATTGCAGCATCCCCATGGTCACACAATCAAAATTCCGATGCTTGGCAACTGACTGTTATTTATGATGGTTGCAGTGTCCTGGATCATGTGATCACCTTTTGTGACCGTCTGACAAGCAAAGTCAATGGGGTTCACTTAACAACCATATTACTAACTTAACTGCAGTGATTCACTTATCAACTGTGGCAAGAGATGTTGTAAAATGGGGGAAAACACACTTAACAAATGTTTCACTTAGGAACATAAATTTTGGGCTCAATTATGGCCATAACTTGAGGACTACCTGTAATGGTGACATGTGGGAAGTATTTGTTTAATATTTTCTATTACAATAATCACTTCCTTACATTTTAATTATACAGTACATATATATGAACTTAATGCCAACTACAAAGAAATTAAGTTTGTTTCCCTAAATGTTTAAGCAGGGTTGAAAAAAATGAGATACAAAACTGTACATTTGGTCTGTCAAACAATCCCTAAAGGATAGCTGAAGATCAATCTTGTTGACCTTGGTACAAGATCATACTATTAGAAATATGTGCTAACTATGCTATAGCACAAACTGTGTTAACAATAGTTTCTTAATTAATGTTTCATTTATTTTGTTGACAAAATATGACTTAGCAGTGAACTATAAACATGAAATGTAGGTAACATATTCATAAAATGTTTTTAAGTATACACACCTTCCCACAGAACAAATCACTTTACAGGTATAGCATGGCATTCTGCTAAAGTTCTCAAGGTCATACAATACGATAGTACCATCAGAACCACCTGATAACATACTGCAAGAAAACAAGTTATGAATCAATTGAGATGTTGTAAGCTTTAGTCCCCCCCCCCCACCAAACATGTAATTTTTATCTTTTAAAAATACTTGAAAATTAGTTTTAATCTAAAAATACTAGAACATTTTAATTAATATAAAAATTAATATATATTATATTTTGTTATATAATAATATATATTAATTTCAAATTGATTTCTTCTTTTAGAATACCATTTCATGTGCTATATCATCTCCCCTCCAAAAAAATATATATATAAGACTGAAATATCTGAATGATGATTTTATAATAAAGTGTTCTTGATATAGTTTAAAAGTTGTCCTAAATGAAACAATTTTCTTTGAACTTTTTATCGGCATATCTGCAAATATTTTAAGGCACACTATAATTCTTCACACTATTCATGTTCACATGACATGCTAAGACAGTAAACCTGGTAAAAAAAGCATGGGTGTACTACCTCCCTGCCCACAACTGCTCGAGGTCCAATCCTATGCAGACCTTTATCCTAGTTTCAGGTTTACCTAAGCCTTGATGTTCTGTCTAAATATGGAGTAGCAATTATTTCCATTAAGTTGACCGTCTGTCTCTGGTTTGGAAATGGCTTGGTTAATGCCCAGATTCCATTTTCACTAGCCAGACAAAAAAACTAACAGACATCTAATTTTGTATTGATCCCTCTAGGTGATGGCACATACTATGTTTTCCCAAAAATAAGACCTATCCAGAAAACAAGACCTAGCATGTTTTCTGCTCATGCATCCAAAATAAGCCCTACCCCCAAAATAAGCCCGACTTAAGTGCCTGCTCATCTGGCCGCCCATCCATTCCATCTGACTGCTCATGGTGCTGCCAATATGAGGTGAGGTGAGACAAGGAGGGTGGTGGAGCTGTCCCATGCGCACACTGGCTTACTTCAGGGCCCCTGTAGACAGGTAAGTTGCTGGAAGAAATGGGCAGGCGGCCACGCAGGGTCTTGCTGGATGGGGCTATTGGAGTTGCTGCCATGGGGCGAGGTAAGGATCAGAGCATGGATGGGCTGGCTGCTGGGGCCCTGAGGTAAGCCGGTGCGGGGTGTGTGGGGTAACTCTAACCCCCCTGGACTCACGTCGGCAGTTCTCAAGAAATAAGACATCCCTGAAAATAAGCCCTAGTACTTATTTCGGACCCCAAAAGAAAATAAGACCAGGTCTTATTTTCAGGGAAACACAGTAGAAGCCACAGGTTAATTATACAGTAAGTAATAAATAAGCTACCAACACAAGAATTCTTAGAAAATGCACCCAGGGCTGTTGGAGGGGAACATATGGGATTAATCAAAAGGACTTCTGAACAAAACAGTAGCAATAACACTTAGACTTACACACCAATTCATAATGTTTTACAATCCTCTCTAAGTGGTTTACAGAGTCAGCGTATTGCCCCCAATAATCTGGGTCATTTTTATTGACCTCAGAAGGATGGAAGACTGAGTCAACCTTGAGTGTGTATGTGTGTATATGTATGTATAATTTTCTGAAATTTCATGGATTCATGAAATTTGAGAAAATGCTTCTATGAAAAAAAAGTTACCAATTTAAAAATGCAAATATTTTAAAATCGGTTCAGTAAAATATATTTCATAACAAAGCATAATAAAATATACATACTATCGATTTTCAACAGGTTCAATATCCAAGGTATTAATTCCACTTCCGTGAATTCTTTCAACATCTTTGTTCTTATTTAACTCCAAGCTTAATACCCTTTAAAAAAGGAAGCTTTTTTTAATTATAAACAAAATTAAAATGATATAATATTTTGTTACTGAAATGCCATTAAATTCTTCAACCCACTACATTTACCACTTACAATATGTTTTGTAGTCAATTTCAAAATTTGGAAAGCTGACATACTACATGTCAATAGCGTAAGTTGTTTGTATGTAAATTATGTAATCAAACATAAGCACAGATAGGTAAATAACACTTCAATCCAAACAAATAAACAGTATTTATGTATTGTATTTCTATCTATTAAACAGCATTTCAATTTTGTTAAGTGAATTACTTCATTGCCTCTATTCTATGTAAGCTTTGTAAGTTATAAATAAAAATGAATCTTTTTAAAAAATCCTACTGATTTGGCAAAAGTAGAATTTAGATTTTTAATTTAAAACATTTAAGTTAAAAATCAGGAGAATATCGTGCAAAAGTTTATTTATTTCAGTAATGCAACTTAAAAGGTGAAACTAATATATGAGATAGACTCATTACATGCAAAGCGAGATAGTTCAAGCCTTGATTTGTCATGATTTTGATGATTATGGCTTACAGCTCATGAAAACTCCAAATTCACAATCTCAGAAAATTAGAATATTACATGAAATCAATAAAACAAGGATTGTACATAGAACAATATTGGACCTCTGAAACGTATAAGCATGCATATGTACTCAGTACTTGGTCTGGGCCCCTTTTGCATCAATTACTGCCTCAATGCGGCATGGCATGGATGCTATCAGCCTGTGGCACTGCTGAGGTGTTATGGAAGACCAGGATGCTTGAATAGCGGCCTTCAGCTCTTCTGCATTGTTCGGTCTCATGTCTCTCATCTTTCTCTTGGCAATGCCCCATAGATTCTTTATGGGGTTCAGGTCAGGCGAGTTTGCTGGCCAATCAAGCACAGTAATCCCATGGTCATTGAACCAGGTTTTGGTACTTTTGGCAGTGTGGGCAGGTGCCAAGTCCTGTTGGAAAATGAAGTCAGCATCCCCATAAAGCTTGTCTGCGGAAGGAAGCATGAAGTGCTCCAAGATCTCCTGGTAGACGGTTGCGTTGACCCTGGACTTAATGAAGCACAGTGGACCAACACCAGCAGATGACATGGCTCCCCAAATCAACACAGAGTGTGGAAACTTCACACTGGACTTCAAGCATCTTGCAATGTGTGCCTCTCCATTCTTCTTCCAGACTCTGGGTCCTTGGTTTCCAAATGAGATGCAAAAGTTGCTCTCATCAGAAAAGAGTACTTTGGACCACTGAGCAACAGACCAGTTCTTTTTTTCTTTAGCCCAGGTAAGATGTTTCTGATGTTTGTGTTCAGGAGCGGCAAGAGTTGACAAGAGGAATACGACATTTGAAGCCCATGTCCAGGATCCGTCTGTGTGTGGTGGCTCTTGATGCACTGACTCCAGCCTCAGTCCACTCCTTGTGAAAGTCCCTAACACTTTTGAATGGCCTTTTCCTGACAATCCTCTCCAGACTGTGGTCATCCCTGCTGCTTGTGCACCTTTTTCTTCCACACTTTTCCCTTCCACATAACTTTCTATTAATGTGCTTTGATACAGCACTTTGGGAACATCCAACTTCTTTTGCAATTACCGTTTGAGGCTTTCCCTCCTTATGGAGGGTGTCAATGATGGTTTTCTGCACAACTGTCGGGTCAGCAGTCTTTCCCATGATTGTGATTCCTACTCAACCAGACTGAGAGACCATTTAAAGGCTCCGGAACCCTTTGCAGGCGTTATGGCTTAATTAGCTGATTAGAGTGGGACACTTTGAGCCTAGAATATTGAACCTTTTCACAATATTCTAATTTTCTGAGATTGTGAATTTGGGGTTTTCATGAGCTGTAAGCCATAATCATCAAAAGTATGACAAATCAAGGCTTGAACTATCTCGCTTTGCATGTAATGAGTCTATCTCATATATTAGTTTCACCTTTTAAATTGCATTACTGAAATAAATGAACTTTTGCACGATATTCTAATTTTTCGAGTTTCATCTGTACATATAAAATTGATTATTGAATTCTATCTATTAAATACAACATACTCTTTTTCCAGAAGCACGATTAGAACTAAAGGGTGGAAAATAATGAGCCATAAATTTCTCCTGAACATTAGGAGAAAGTAAACATAAACTCTATCAGTAGAACTGAGTGCCTTGGGATATGGTGAACCAAATTTTGCTGGAATCATTCAGGTAACTGTTGGATGCTCTTTTCTTAAAAATGGTATAATCTCATTTTATGTGGCAAATTCTGAATTGAACAGACATTAGAAATTCATTTCTGGACATGTAATTCCATAAACGTATTGCATATTACACTGTGCATGTTGATAGCCATTTCACATGTAATGGCATAATATTACTTATTATTCATTCATTCCTCAAATGAAATTGACATAATTATAAAATATAATCTTTATTCTTTTTTTGTCTGTTATTTCCACATTTGATTTACAAGTATTAAAATGACAAATATTTAACTGTTTAACTCATCTAAATTTCAAATACATATTAATTTGTGTAATGTGCTATTTCCTCCATCAATACAGATAGAACCTTGGTCAATGTCTTCACTATTTTTTGACAATTTCTTTAGTATAGCTAGAAATTCACACTTACACGAAAACCCTACAATTTCAAAGGGTGCTTGGACTGTCATTCCTATTGCTATTTTACAGAATACATTACTTAGAAAATAGTTCTCAGTAACTACAATGTCAATTTCTTTCAAAGTAAATTGCAATCCATACATTTGCTAGTTGTGGTCATTCACTGACCCATTAAGACAGATTTCCTTCTAAAGGAATTACTAGCATATTATGTTTCTACTTCTGTGAGCTGCATCATCAAATTGTAGCTTACATTTTATTCACGTAATTATTCACACAATTTTTCTTTAATCAATTAATTACATCAGTAATTAGAACAGTATTTTTGAGACTTATTTATCAAATAACCTTAGAAAGAAAGTTGTGAATCACACAAATGTTTCTCCCCCAAACATTTAAAAACTGCATGCATAGTGCATGGGGGAAATATAATGGTACCAGGTTTTTAACATTTCATTATAAGGCTGTAATCATAGGTCGCCTTATGTACCCTTTCCCATCCAAATGCCATTCTTGAATCTGCAGTTAGATTGATGGAACTAGGGGCATCAGTTCCTAATTGCAGAATAAAACCACCCCAACGATGCCCTTGAAGTGATGTCCCGGTGCCTGGAGGCCGTACGGATCTGGATGGGGAGGAACAGGCTCAGGCTCAACCCATCCAAGACTGAGTGGCTGTGGTTTCTGACGTCCCGATATAGTCAGCTGGTGCCATCGCTGACTATTGGGGGCGAATCATTGGCCCTCATGGAAAGGGCTCGCAACTTGGGCGTCCTCCTGGATTCACGGCTCTCTTTAGAAGAGCACTTGACGGCCGTGACCGGGAGATTTTTCATCAGGTTCGCCTGATCCGCAAGTTGCGTCCCTTTCTAGATTGGGACTCCCTACACACGGTCACTCATGCCCTCGTCACCTCTCGTCTGGACTATTGTAACGTTCTCTACATAGGGCTCCCCTTGAGGTGCACTCGGAGGCTCCAACTGGCGCAGAGTGCGGCCGCGCGGGTGGTTATGGGAGCAACGTGGAGCCGTTTCTCTTCTCAATCCAAGAAGCTTCTTCAGCTCTGACTGGATGGTGGGGAATGGAAGGGCTTTATATTCCTTGCAGTCAGAGCTGAAGAAGCTTCTTGGATGAGAAGCTTCAAAGAAAAACCAGAAAGTCCAGTTGCCTCTTGAAAAAAAAAAAGCGCCTTTGGGGCAACCATGACCTGGATGACTGAGAATCTCCATAGACACTTGAAGTAGAAATTGGAATGTTATGAGTTCTATTCCCACAGTAAGCCCAAAGCTAGCCGGGTGGCCTTGGACCAGTCTCTCTCTCAGCCCTAGGAAGGAGGCTGGCAAACCGCTTCTGAAATCTTCCCAAGAAAACTGCAGGGATCTGCCCAGGGAGTCGCCAGGAATCAACACTGACTTGAAAGCCACGATCATCTACCCAGAGAGCCACCTCACGAACCCGACTCTGAGGCGTTTGTTCTGACGCTGAGGCTGTGCAGGACACTTTTTTTTAACAGATTAACAAGAGTTGGAAGGGACCTTATAGGTCATCTAGTCCAAACCCCCCCCCCCCCCCCCGCTCACGTGTGGCCTGAGGAGACTAAACGCGATCCGGGTAGTAGGAACGCGGCTTTACCTCCTCGTAGCCTCCGCCCGTCGGAGCCTCAGCGGGTCATCTACACCTGCCTGACGAGCGAAAAGAAAACCCAGCATATCCGAAAAGGAAGAACCCGCGCCGGCGACGCCATCAGTCGCGAAATTATCTCACGCCCATTGGCTCAAAGCGTTGCTCTCTTAGCCAATAAGAAACCTTGGTATTGAAACGTCATCGGTCGGGAAAGAACCGGCTCAAAATGCCTCAGCGTTCGGACGCCTCAGGTTCAGGAGAATATAGAGAAATGTATAAGGAAAGATTCGAAAAAGCGGCTTCTCCTTTGCACTTTCTAATTCTAAATATTTCCATTCTCCCAAAATACTGTCCAGAAGATAATTTTTAAAAGTAATATTATTAACAGAGAGCCGTTCAGCCGTTAGTAAATTGGCGGTTTTTCATAAAATACATGTGTGTGCGTGTGTGAGGAAATGCCGGATGTGTTTTCTTCAATTTTATTATCTCTAATTAACAGGCCTGAGGGCATATGTGGGCGTGGCTTCCGACGGAAAGGGGCGGGAGAGGATTTATCTCAGCGCGTTTTGGGACGCCTCACGTGCCGGTCCCGTTTGGGGGGAGGGGGAAGCGGCGGTTGGGGTTTGCGGCTTCGCAACGCCCTTCGCCTGGCATGAGCGGCGTCGGGCGGTTTCTGCGCTTGCTAAAGCAGCGCTTTATCGGGCGAGGGAGCGAGTACGTGGGCATCGACCACTTTGGAAACAAGTATTATCGGATCCCGCAGCACAAAACTTGGGCAGGTGAGCGAGACGAAATGGTCGCCCGAGGTTGGTCGTATTTACGCTCCACTTCTTCTCTGGGTTTATCCAAATCGGGATTTCCTTAATCGTGGTTTATAAACTAAACTGTCATTGGCTGGCACCTTGCAGCTGTCTAGGCAATAAACCAGAGGTCTTCAAACTTGGCAGCTTTAAGACTTGTGGACTTCAACTCCCAGAATTCTCCAGCTGAAGTAGTTGAGCTGAAGTAGTTTAAATCCACAAGTCTTAAAGCTGCCAAGTTTGGGGACCCCTGTAATAAACTATAGTTAGTGAATTACAATAGCTATATCGGATATATATACTAAGTGAAAACTCTGAGAGGGATCTTGGAGTCCTAGTGGACAATCATTTAAATATGAATGAGCCTTGTTGCTGCAGCTGCCAGAAAAGTCAACACAGTTCCAGGCTGCATAAACAGAGGGACAGAATCAAGATCACATGAAGTGTTAATACCACTTTATAACGCCTTGGTAAGGCCACACATCGAATATTGCATCCAGTTTTGGTCGCCAGAATATAAAAAGGATGTGGAGACTCTAGAAATGGTGCAGAGAAGAGCAATGAAGATGATTAGGGGACTGGAGGCCAAAACATATAAAAAACGGTTGCAGGAATTGGGTATGTCTAGTTTAATGAAAAGAAGGACTAGGGGGTGGCATGATAGCAGTGTTCCAATATCTCAGGGGCTGCCACAAAGAAAAGGGTTCGCACCGGTTCGGGCAAACTCGTAGCAGTGGTGGGAGGGTCCACCCACCCACCCGGACGTCATCAAATATGCTCTGCGCATGCACGTGCAAGTGAGCGAACCGGTAGCAAAGGTAAGTGAAACCCACCACTGACCTGAGGGTAGGACAAGAAGCAGCGGGTGGAAATTAATCAAGGAGAGAAGCAACCTAGAACTAAGGAGAAATTTCCTGACAGTTGGAACAATTAATCAGTGGAACAACTTGCCTCCAGAAGTTGTGAATGCTCCAACACTGGAAGTTTTGAAGAGATTGGAGAACCATGTGTCTGAAATATTGTAGGGTTTCCTGCCTGAGCACGGGGTTGGACTAGAAGACATCCAAGGTCCCTTCCAACTCTGTTATTTTATTTGAGCCGCAGCCCAATTAAAAGTGGCATAAATAAAGTTAGCTCTTAAAATATATGCACATCTGGACAGCACCTTGGCCAGTTTTCTCCCAACACTGAGAGTTGAAACTTGAGTCCAACTCCCCTGCTAGTTCTGCAGTCCAAAGTGAAATATTCTGGGCAATCCACAACTAATCAATCTTGGGATTAGTTGTTAAATAACAGACAAGGATGAGATCGTACAATTTGAACAAACGTGATTTGCACGATTCAGTCAACAGCATGAAGCAAAATTATATATATATCTTACAACTTAAATATATCTTAATTATATAATGTATAAAGATACTTTATATGTCTTAACATTTATAAATCAATTTATCTCATGTATCAATCCCTTAATCTTACAAGAATTCAGTTCCTATCTTCCCAGTATAAAAATAGATGCCGATATAAGCACAATTCCTGAATCTTTCCCAATTGTTTTTTAGATTTATATGGTCAGAAATGGCATGTAGTTTTATTTATATCATAAAAATAGGGAATACCTGAATTTCAGGCATGCATGGTTTGTTCTTCTTTTTTGCCTTTTGCATGTTGAAGAGAAAAAGTTTTTATTTCCAATTTCTGTTACTTTTAACCATATTAACCATATTAATATTCTGGTTGTGAACTACTTAAAGTGATTCAGAATTGTTGCTGGATTTCAATATACTTTGCTATAATAGACTCATTTGATTTTGTTTGCCAGGTAAACCACAATTGGTCAAATTTATACAACATATTCAGCCAATTGTCGTTTACCCAATAAATAATCCAATTTACACAACATATTCAGCCAATTGTGGTTTACCCAATACATTTGTTTATCACAAATAGTAAACTGCAGATGAATGGAAGCTTCATATTTCCTAGCCTTTTGGGGGTGGGGGGGGAGATTTATGTGGCAAAACAGAATGTTCACTCCTTATGAACATAATAGTAAACTGCTATATTAAGCTATCAATGCTGTTGCAAGATATAGTTTTAGATATATATGGCCACTGTATTCACTGAGTGAGACGACCATTTATAATTTGTAGAAACATGAGCTCAAGGAATTTAAAATAATAAATATTTGGAATACAATACCCAACAGAGTAACAGAATAACAGGAATAGTTATAAAAACAGAATTGACCAAAGTTAACTACACATATCTCAACCAAGATCTTTTATTATAGAAGTGCTTATCCTACATGCTGGCCAAATTGCAGGGGAAAGAATGAGGTTTTCAAGGCTTTATGGAAGGACAGAAGATTTGTTTCTTTAGTTACAGCATTTCTGAAAAACTGTAAGGGAGAAAATGGGAAGAAAAAAGGATTTGTATTGAACTCCTTTCATATACCCCCATGATACTTGGCATTAAAGACCAAGGTATTATCCATTCTTTTTACTTTCTTACCTCTGTTTATTTTCTAATGCTGAAGCAGAGGAGCGGCGTCTGTCATCCCCAAGGAATTAACAGTGGTAAAATCCAAATAGAATATCACTGCTGATTTTAATATGCCATGGTCACAATTCAAATGTTGAGTTAAATTTTTGAGAAATGTGAGTTTATGGATAAAGAACAAGAGTAATATTTGGAATCTGTTGCTCTGTACATCAGAAAAAGTCACAGTGATACGTGAAATAAAGTCAAATCTATAGAATTTAACTATAAGCAAAAGAAAAATTAAAGAGCCAGATTGATAAACAGCATAATAAAATAGTTGGGGCCTCTGGGCTAAGTTAAGACTCACCTGAAATCTGTGTTCTGCTGTTTATGCTAAATTCCTAAGTGTTTATTAAGCTAATGAGTACAGGTAGTTCTCAACTTATGATCACAATTGAGCCCAACATTTCTGTTGCTAAGCAAAACATTAGTTAAGTGATTTTTTTTTTTTAATTTGATTTATATGCCGCCCTTCTCCCAAGACTCAGGGCGGCTTACAGTGCGTTCAGCAATAGCCTTCATACTTTTGTATATTTATACAAAGTCAGCTTATTGCCCCCACAAACTGGGTCCTCATTTAACCTACCTTAGAAAGGATGGAAGGCTGAGTCAACCTTGAGCCTTGGAGAGATTCGAACCAGCAGTAAATTGCAGGCAGCTGTGTTAATAACAGGGTGCTTTAAACCACTGTAGTACCAAGGTACTGTAGTACCTTGCCCCATTTTATGACCTTTCTTGCCACAGTTGTTAAGTGAATCATTGCAGTTGTTAAGTTAGTAACATGGTTGTAAAGTGAATCTGGCTTCCCCATTGACTTTGTTCTCAGAAGATCACCAAAGGTGATCATGACCCTGGGACACTGCAACTGTCATAAATTTGAGTCAGTTGCCAAGCATCTGAATTTTGGTCACATGACTGTAGGGATGCTGCAATGTTCATAAGTGTGAAAAATAGTCGTAAGTCAATGCCTTTGTAACTGATCAGTCACTAAATGAACTGTTGTAAATAGAGAACTACCTGGGTTTTAATCAGGTTATTAATCATTTTCTACAATGTTTTTGCTATAAAATAGATTGATCTTAAGATTAAATTCTGGCTAAAAATCTGCTGTCACTTTGGTCTTGTAAATATCTGGTATTTGAAATAGTAATAGACATGTGCCTTGACTTAAGATTTATTAATGGAAAGGAAAGTGAAGTATACAATTATTTATATTCTTAATTTTGGCAGTATAGTATTCATTGATAATAGTAAATTATCAATCATTGCATCATGTTAAGTTGTTATATATTGACTTTTTCTGACCAAGTGTAGAGTTAATCACTTTTCCATTTGGTGCCCTTCTATTTCGTTACCAGAAATAAATACAGTGAATACAGTAAATAATCGTAATAGCCAAAGGTTGAGTTGAGATGGTACATCAAGTTGTATACTGTGGTTCATAATGATTTTGTTTTTAAAATACAACCATATAAACCTCAACTCAAACCAACCACACTTTGCATAATATGTGTATTCAAAAAAAATATCTGACAAAATTGTCACTGCTCTGTACTTCTATTAAGAACAAATAGGGGCGGAATGCAAATTAAATTGATTTATTTGTAAGGAACATTACTTAAATACAGTCTATAAGATTATTTTGTCATGTATTTGATAAAGTCCCTTATTATATTAAAGGACAATTCAAGGGCAGTCCTAGGACTGCAGATTATGGGCAATGGTTACAAATCACAAAACTATTGTCTAATTGCAAAATCAGCCTGCAGTTTAAAGAAAGACATTAATATTAACATTTATTTTCATACACGTTTCCCAACTAGATACATTTGGAAAGCAGTTTTCACTCTATAAAAGGAATTACACAAAATATGAAAAAGGACATAGGTAACATGAATTGACTTTTTCTTTACCAGCTACAAGATACATAAATATTGGTGCACAATCTATTTGAATGATTATTGGAATAAGGTGTTTATAGAGACGGATTAAAGGGAATATTGTATATAAACATGTTAGCCAATTTTAGGTATATAATTTTACTAAGTTATGATATTAGTCAATTCATTTGTTGATCACTGATTAACCACTTTTTATTTCTCCCTCCTACCATTCCTCAATTATATAAGTTCATTGTGCTTGCCATTATTTTATTATATTGCTTTAGTATTCCAGAATTGTATCCCTCGACATCCAAAGTGGTAAAAAGGAAGTAAAGAATTCCAAAACTGTATATTGTAATCTGTGAATTGTAGTACCAAATTACTGCACAATCTGATATATTGTATACAATTTATAAATGTTAGATTAATTTATTTTTTATAGTAAAGTGATTTTTTTTCCACATTAAACTTGTCTCCTGGTAACTGGTGATATGCTTCTGCAATTTACAATTTGTTCTTTCAAAATTTGTGTACTATTTGTGTCCAGAAGGC